TTCGCTGCGACTCACCTTGACCGAAACAGTTGGATCGATTGTGCTGCATCGTCGCCCGAATGGTGCGCGTTGCAAAGCTTGTTCATATCTTAGGCGTGCATATGCTTTTCCTGACATTCCCCATGTCCTTTTAGGACCGTAGTCTTGGACTCGAACGGGCGCAAAGCAAAAAACAAAGGCCTCCCTATTGGGGGAGTACTGAGCAAAGTCGCTACAACTTTTGTGTTGTCAGAAGAAGAACATCGTTGGTCGATATCCTCCGAGTTGCGTCATCAGCATGGCTTCTGTGCTACTTCTGCTGCATGGGACCGCGAGGTCGCCTGAGGTCGCTATGTCGACGACGTGTTTTGGATTTCTGGCGTGTACTGCTTGAGTTGTATGCTTGAAGCACTGTCGCTGACTTATAGCGTCAGCTTTGACTTGTCTTGTCACGGCGAGCAAGTGACGTGGCTGGATATGGTCTTTCATTCTGGCACATGTGCGTGGTCAAAGAAAGATAAAGCCTGGATCTTTCCCCCACCTTGGGGTGCGCCTCGAGGATTCCTCTTCGGTTTCATAAGAGGACGCCTTCGACGCTGGAGTGAAGTTCAGCTAAGCGACGACTCATGGCTGCAGGCTGCTGCAAACGTGTTGGTGTGCCTCAAACTTGCAGGTTGGTCTAAGCGACGCGTGCGGGGACCTCTGTACCGGGCCTGCGCGCAGCTTGAGAGGCCAAAAAGTCAGATGCTTGTATTGCTGCTGCACAAGGTATGGCGAGGGCACTGATGGACGGCTTTCCGTTCTGATGCTTTCGTCGCCTCTTCTAGTTTTTCAGGGGCCCGGCAGTGGTTCAGTAGTGTTTGGCGTTTGTTACTGCCGTCTCACCTCAAGTTTTGAGTAGCGCCGGCTTCTTCCACGCCTGTCTGCTTGTCCTTAGAGCCATGGTCACCACGCTGCAGCGTCTACTGCTGTTTTCGTGGTGCCTGCTTGGCGCCGCTGCTTTGGGGAAACCGAGCTCAGGATGGACCCGCAACGGTTACTCATGGGGCAAAGGCCATAGCAACTGGTCCCGCGATCAGAGCTATTGGCCCAATAGCGGGCCAAAAGAGGTGCTTGTGAAGGTAGAGGTCGAGCGCGACAGCAGCAAGAAAAAGAAGAAGTCAAAGAAAAGGCGGCACTCCTCGCACGACAGCTCATCTTCCGAACATGATTCTTCCAGCTCTTCCGATGCCAAACGTAGCCACCAGAAAGAGACCAGGAAGAAGAATCGCAAAGATCGTCGCTCGCAAGGTTCATCCCGTCTGGCTCCTTCTGAGATGGAGGAGCTGCAAGAGTTTCGTCGCCAGGCGGAGATCAAGAAGGTAGCAGAAGAGGTTAAGGCAACCTTGAATGAGTCAGGGTCCCCGGATGGCGGCAAAGTGCCAGGCAAGGGCATAGGTGCCATTCCTAAGCACCTCACGCCCAAGTCCAAGAATGGTATTGCTGCAGAAGCGAGGATCTTTAAGCAAGATGGTGTCCACAGCCTCATCAGTGATGTGTCGACGTGGGATGATGTGCACGGGCAGCTTACAGGCAATCCTTTGCCTGACCTCAAAGCCCTGCACAAGCAACTTTGCGACGGTGACGTGCCGCTTCGCAAAAACGAAGTTGTCAGAAATCTGATGGCTGAGCTGCAAACAAAGTTCGACTGAACGGGCACAGTCGTGCGAACCTCTCGCCCTCAGGTACTGCCGCGGACTGGCATCGCCATAGGTTGCAGTTTTGGTGTCGGGCTGTTCTTTGTTTTGGTGATACTCTGGATGCAAGCAGACTCCTGCCCAGCAGGATCCTGGCTATGCCGTTGTGTGAGGTATGCTCGTGCAGTGAAGGTCCTGGCGTGGGATGAGCGCCAGGCATCGCAGTCCATCGAGTTCCTCACAGGCTTGCCTATCTACTCGGCCTCTTCTGGCCTTGTAGTATTGGCCATCGCGCATGTGCCGGGTAGCCCATTCATGAGCAGAGTCCGCCGCGTGGGGAGAAGGCTACTTGAGTCGCCTGGTCGCACACGCGCAGCAACGGTAGAGCCACCAGGGTCGCCTGACAGCGTGGTTAGACACCTTGCCTTCGGATAGACTAGGGAGGGTTTGACATACCAACCCCTTCCTTTTCTACATGGGGCATTCTGCAGAGGACTAGTGATGTCACGTCTGTGCTTCTAGTGCAACTGTGAAGGATAGATCCGCTGCAGCCTTCATTCATATCGAGAGTACCTGAGAGGTGCTGCTCATTTTGAGTGGCATAGGGCGTGCACAGCAAACCAGACGCTTACTGACACCTTGGTCTGGGCCTCTCAGAAAAGAAGTTTGCAGCAGAGACGTGAGTTATCTGTTTTGCTTGGCTGAACTATCAGAGTCGTATACAAATGTACTAGAACACGAATATACTAATGTACTGAAAAACATATGTATTTATACCAATATACGAACATACTCATAAACCATTATACTCATGTAGTCATGCACCAATGTAGTAATCTATTAATATACTAATCTATAAATATACGAAAATACTGTACCAACATAGCCATGTATTGGTATTAGTAACGTGCTTAAACATACACACAACTATATTTACATACAAGTATATTAACGCACTCATGTACCAATATACTAACCCAAACCAAATACCCATATACCAATATACAAATATATTACTACGAAACAAACCAAAATATTAATGTATTGGTATTAGTAACGTACATAAACATACATACACATATATTTAAATACAAGTATATTAACGCACTCATGTACCAATATGCTAACCAAAACCAAATACCCATATACTTATGTACAAATATATTATAGCTATGAAACCTATGATTATATTAATATATCATACACTCATATACGGAATATACGAATACTGTAATATACAAGTATTCTGATATGTATTTATAACTTATTAGATTAATATACTAACATTGTCGTATACAAACATACTAGTATATTGGTATATTAGTATACAAATATGCGAATATACGAAAACTGTAATATATAAACATACTGATATGTAATATATTACTATACTAACATATTGCTATATATTTATATACTGACAGACTAATATACAAATATAGTCACATATAAATATACCAGCCTCTTAATATACTAACGCACTAATATACTAGTATTTTCATATACGAATAAACCAATAGACTAATATACTAACATACCAATATACTCATGTACTCATGCACCAATGTACTACCAGGTTAATATGCGAAACAAGTACAGACACATGCTACTTGTAGACTAATATACTAATGCACGGATATATTAATTTGTTAATACACGAATTGACTGGTATACTAACATATCAAAACTCGTTTTAATATTAATACCAATACTACTACTTCTGCGAATATTAAAACTGATATCAAAACCAGCATTAAGACTGACTGATACGAATATACACGAGCACGAACATGTACACTAACACTATTAGTAATTTCTACTTACCAATCCTGATGTTAATACGCATATTAACTACCAAAACTAGTACTAATAGTGATGCTAGACTAATACTAATACTAAGATCAATACTACCACAAAACGATTTCCTAGTATTAACACTGATACAAGAATTAAGACTACTACAAACAGTAATAGTGGTGCTACGGTTAGAACTAAGCACAAGATTGAGTCAAGATCAGGATTAAGACTAAGACTAAGATTAGGACTTGGGGCTTTGCATGAACGTGTAAACATTTCCAAAATTGCCAAACACCTTAAAAGTTCTAAACTTGGCAAACAATCCAAGAATTTTAAAGAATTCCAGACAAATTCTAAAATTTCAAAAAACGTATGCCCTGTCTGGCAGAGTCGGTCCGTGACATTGGGGGGAGAATTTAAACAATTGTGTAAACTCTGGACAGAAAGGGGAAGGGAAACTGGGAAACTTTTGAAACTTTGGATATGAGTTTGGGCGAGCCCCCATCCGTTGGCAATGATGACTGGGGACGGACACCGCCCTTCCCCTTCCCCACGACGGTCTGTCATGGGGGAGGGTGAGCATATATATATATATATATTGTCCCGCGCAGCCGAGCAAACTGTCACAGGCCTGGTGCTTGTCCCCGTCATCATCCCGTAAATGCCGACGTTCTGTTGGAACTCTCACGCAAGATCGCGCAACCCCCGCCCCCCTCCCCACACAGATGAGAATCATGGCGATGATGCTGAGCACAATGACGAGGATGTGCTTCGTGCATGCTGGTATTCCGAGCGTGACTGTTGGAGCACCACTGCTCTTATGCCGTTCTGCCCTCAGGTGCCGCATGTTCAATGCTTGTACTTGAATTGCGAAAGCTTGTTTGGCTTGTTCTTTCGTAGATTTTCGTAGTTTGTACCGACCGTTGTCATTCTATGCTCGGTTTCGGATGGGTACGGTAAAAGTCAACCCGAGCATTTGCTTGAATAACTTTCATTCAGGAGTCTTGAGCAAGGGACCGCAGGAGCTTGCGCACGGGGATCATGATCATCTTCGAGGGAGGGACAGGGGGGAACCCATACTACAGGGAACCAAAGGGGGAGGGCCGGGGTACCATGGGGTGGGGGGGAGGGGGGAGCCAGCAGCGCTGCACCATATATATATATATATATATATATATATATATATATATATGTATGTGCATGTACATATCTGTTCGGGCCATCTGTCTCTTCTTCCACCGGGCATGAGGGACTGTTAAGGTATCTGTCT